GGTGTACATCAAGATCTTAGTAAAGTAACTGGTGTAGGCAGGTCCTTTTCTCTGAGTTGGAGGAACCAAGCTGATGGCACACAAGAGCATATGCGATTTAGAAGTGCAACTACTTCTGGTGCCCCTGGAGTTGAAAAGGCCAGAAATATTGTTCGTCAGAAAGCAACAGGTAAGCTCACTGAAGGCCTAATTTGGTCATAAAATGCATAAAGTTTTGATCAAGGCAAAGTATTTCTACAGTTTGTACTTTTCTGCCTGCTCTTATAAGGTCACTTAATTTTTTGAGCTAAATTAATCTATCATGAACTCCAGTTCTGGATATTGAATACTTGATTTGTTTTCAGAATTTTTTCAAAATTTTAAAATGTTTTCAAGACCCATAACTGGCCCTTTCTCTACTCGCTTTCCTGGCTTCTACTTGATCTCCTCAACTGCTTCTACCATAGCCAATTTGCTCTTCCTCCATAAAACCACCACTTTGTCCCTTTATTGCCTTCTAACCTAGTTCATTATTTCTGAACTCTCCATAATTGATCAATTCTTGTTCACATTGTCAACCTCTGTAGAATGCTTCACTCCCAGTACCCTCAAAACCATTGTCATCACCTCTTTCTTTCAAGAGCTTTTACTTAACTCCTCTGACTTTATAAATTACATTTAGATGTGTCGTCTTGCCTCTTACTCCAAGGTTATTTTAATTCATTATTACTTTGCAGCTACATAATATAGTTTCCTATCCTTGGCTTTTGACCAGCTTCTCTAAGATCATAAGACTGTGACTGTAATATTGTTCACTGTCCTGAGCTTGTATCTCTTCATTTTCCTGCTGCTTTCCTGTCTCCTGCTACCTCATTTATTTAGTCTATATTCATGAAACAGCAATCTTCTAGCTTCATTCCAACTTCACCCAACGAGGCATATCCTCAAAGTTTATTTTCTCATGCAAAATAAGTATGACAGGGCTGCATCCTAGTTCTGTTCATTCTAACAGCTACCTCTTGTATGCACCACACCATATTACAGAACACTTCTATACCTTCTAATTTTCTCTAAGTTGCTTTCTGATCTTTACATTTCATTCTTAAACTGTAAATGTTAGTAGTAGTTCCCTTTAATTATGTATGCATCTTGTGTTATTGTACAAGTTCAATTTCTTGTTGTTAGTGGTGGTTCACTTAACAATTTTAATCAGAAATGTAGATAAATATATGGTCAAAACTGCATTTTTAAATTGCAGACCAGTAGGCAGTAAGCCCTTGTACTACAAGAAGTTAATAAAATGTGGAAATAGTGCTGAAATTCTTGCTTTATGTTTACTTTGTAGTTTACTGTTGAAAGTGCTAAGAAGAGCGATAATTAGAGTTCTATTTTTAATTGTACTGGATGGAATTAATTTGAAGAATCAATTCCAGTTATATAGATAAATAACCTGATCCATACAAACCATAAATTGATACTTTTGAAATACATTAAATAAAATATGTACGTACAAGGTAGAAGGTTGAAGCTTAATACATTCTCAAAGACTTCTATAATCCTCCCTTAATTGCCATAATATAATGTTATATAGCTTATGCTAGTACGTATACTTAAGTGCTGTTTGGCTTATTCTCTATTTCTGTTGAGAAGCCCAGCTTTTGGTGTCCAGTTGGATATTATTGCTAAATTGCAGACCTGAAAAGACTGTGTGGAAGCACACAGTATACCCAGACTTGGTTAGCATAGGTTTTGTGAGTTTTGAAATGATGTCAGTTGCAAGAGAGTGGACAGACCATAAAGTTCTTTTCATTCTACTGTGATGTGCCATTATTTCTTCTACAAAGAATTATCCATAGAAGTCCCCTCTTTGTTTGCTGTATGAATGTACAGAGAAATGTGTACCCTGTTGGCCATAGAGATCTTTTTATTATTAACTGTAGAACTTGAAACAGTGGATTTTTTTAAAAAAAAATCCTTTTAAAGAATGAAGTCTAGAGATAAAAGGCAAACAGATGGTACATATTCACTTTCTCAGGTGCAATTGCTGGCTTACCCAGGACTACAAAGCTATTGGCAAACAAATCTATTCTCATTGATAGCTAACAAATTGGTGTGATTAGCATGTTTGGTTTTCATGATCCCTTCAGCATTCACACTAGATAATTTTTGCATTTCTTTAGCATTTTCTGCAATTAAGACCAAATTTGTAAAACTGTATGAGTCCTTTTCTTTCTAATAAATAACGACCAACTGCAAACTTCTTTTTAACCAGGTTCTTTGTGTTGATATCTTTATTACTGTGATTTGATGCAATTATTTGTCAAAAGGCATACAGTTTTGCCAGATGGACATCTCTAATAATGAATGCCTTTTCAGATATGCTGCATCTGTGTCTTGAGAGAGAAAATGGACTTTTGCTTCATCCACGTTCCTTTATGATGAATAGCTTGTCTAATTGGATTTCCGATGTAGTGAAAATCAGTAATATGTTTTGCTGTGTGTGTGTGTTTTCATTCGTTCTGGCACAGTTCAAATAGCAACTATAATTTGCTTTGTCCATATCATTGAAAACATGAAGAAAGTGCAAAAAGTACAATTGCTGGCTAAAATTTCTAACGTTTCATTACAGAAGTTATATAAAGGACATTTAAACTTGTCACATTCCTCTGAATTTAACTAGTTATGAATAATTAACTAAAAACAATCTTTCCAACTTTTGAGATTTTTAATCTTTTCACACCTTCAGTACAGTATAGTGCTTTTCGTTAGGAGAATAGCTGGCTTTTAATATTTTACCAAAATATAGTTGTAATATCTTATAAAGTGAAAGTAATTTTGCTAGCCAGGTATTTTGAGGTGTAACCAATGTGTAGATTGTGTTCAGGTTATTGTGGCATTCAGTGTAACAAATTTATTTGAATAGATGCCACGACATACATATCAGAGTGTTCAGGGTTTTTCATTTCCCATGTAAAAGAAATTTGGATTTTTTTTTGCATTTGCATATTATTATAACACCACTTATTTATAATGTACCAGGATTATTTTTTAACTTTCCACAATTTGCTTAACCAAGGCTAACAATGTGGTTGATTCTTAAATGCTGTCAAAAATGGTCACTTGTTTTAAGGGCAGTTAAGTACGTGTAACCAATGCTGGGCTTAACATTGATGCCTGAATTCTATGAAAAACTAAGGAGAGAAAGAAGCCTAACATTTCACTTTGATATTTTGGATAAATATTCTGGTCATTTCTGATCTCTTGATATTTATGACTTTTATATGGTTATATTGTAATAAATAGTGAAATGTAAACTTGAAGGTTAGTTTGGCAAAAGATGAAGAATAATTATTGGATGTGCAATGTTGAGCTGATCTTCTTGGCTGTGTTATAACCAGTTCCTCTGTGAGATTCCCCAAATTATTACGTTCCAGATAGGATACCAAAAATTATTAGTGTCTTGTTGAGGTTAAAGAAAATTCCCCTTCTTTATTCACCTGCAATCCTCCATCACTTCAGTTTGTTGTAACAAGGTTAATGTAAAAAATATCCCCTTCCCTTGTGAATACCTTTCTCAAAACCTAAGTGAATCTGTTTAAAAGCAGCCAATTTAACAAGGCTCTCTTAAGTTAACAAAATTTCTCTTTTAGATATTAAATGTGAGAAGAAATAATAACACAACACACATACACTGTAGGCAAGAGAGAAGTTTGTGTTTTCCCCTTTCAAGAATACCCAGAGATGAGGGTTAAGTGTTTTAACCCTGTCTGTGAGCATTTGCGGGCTGAGGTGCTCGTGTGTGTGGTTAGGGGGTTATATGCTGAAGTGTGTGCTAGTGAACTGAGGTCCTTATTTGCTCACAGATGAGAAATTAATTTAAAAAAAATAAAAGTTGGAAGATACACAGATAAGTCTCTGTCATGAGTGAATGTGAGAGTGGAACTTCGAGTGTTGAACACCTTGATTTCAATATTTTTGGCTTTGTGAGTTACATGAAATTCTTGTGTCCTTTTTCCTTCGAAACTGACTTTTAGCAGTCGGTATGATTTTCCTGTATTACAGGGATGATTTGCTGAAGGGTTTTTTTGACTGAGACTCAACACTCCAGCGATGAAACCTAGGCTAGCACACAAGCACCTCAATGCAGAAGCATGCACACATTCAACCCAGTGGACTAACATGCACATGGGCAGACATCTTGGCCTGTTGGTGTGCTCATTAGCGCCTACTAGCATGCATAGGCCAGGGTTAAAACTCTTGTTTAATCTTTGTCCCTGTGTATTCTTGAAAGGGGAAACGTAAATATGTCTCTTGCCCAGACTGTAGTCATTTCTTCCATTGTGTTCACAGTCTGAGCTGCTCAAAGGGGCAAAGTTTGTACTTCTCTCTATGCAGCTTCCTTGTAGGTTAGTTGAGTGACCAAACATTTGGAACATAATGTGGGAAAATGTGAACTAATGCACTTTGGCAGGAACAGTAGAGGAGCTGAATATTACTTAAATGGAGAAAGACTAGGAAGCTGCAGCACAGATGGATGAGGGGGTCCTTGTGCATAAATCTCGAAAGCTAATATCACATTCACTAAGTAGTAGAGAAGACAAATGGAATGTTGTCTTTTCTTTCAAAGGGAATGGAGTAAAATGAGGCACACTTAGAATGCCATTTTGGTTCCCATATCAAGGAAAAGATGTGCTGGCATTGAAGGTAGTCCAAGGAACACTCACTTGGTTGATCCTAGTATTTCATGAGGTGATGTTGAGCTACTTCTCATTAGAGTTTAGAAGAATGCAAATTACATTTTTGAAATAAATAAGATCCTTGGGCTTGACAGGGTATACCTTCGGATGTAGTTTCCTGTTGTGGAAGAATATATGACCAGAGGTCATAATCTCAAAGTAAGGGTTGCCCATTTAAGACGGAGATAAGAGAATTTTCTAAACTCAAGGTAGTAAATCTGTGGAATTCTTTACCAACAGAGGGCTGTTTGGGCTAGGTTGTAGACAGTAATCCAGGATTAGGTAGACAGATGTTTAATAAGTAAGGGAATCGAGGATTATGAGGAAGGGCAGGAGTTGAGGATTATTGGATTAACCATGATCTTATTGAGTTGTGGAGAAAGCTCAATGGCACATTTCTTCCATGTCTCCTAGAGTCATAGAATCATACAACATGGAAAAACGCCCATTCGGTCCAACCAATCCATGTTGAACATAATCCCAAACTAAACTAGTCCCACCTGCCTGCTACTTGTCCATGTCTGACCAAACCTTTCCTATTTGTGTACTTATCCAAATGTCTTTTAAACATTGTAATTAGACCCAGGAAGTTCATTCGACATGCAAATCACCCTCTGTGTTTTAAAAAAAAAATTGCCCCTCAGGTCTTTTTTTAAATCTCTCTCCTCTCGCCTTCAAAATGTGCCCCTGAGTCTTGAAATTCCCCATCCTAGGGAAAGAAACAGCCATTAACTCTGTTTACCTCTCATTATTTTATAAACTTCTACCAGGTTGCCTCTCAACCTCCTATGTTCTAGTGAGAAAAGTCTTGGCCTTTCTGATCTGGAGTCATGATCCGTGGCCATGACTGTTAGAAATTTATGGTTTCGTTTAAGAGATTGGGTTAGTTTTCTTTTCGACAGACAGCATTAAACAATAAGCCTGATGGCTGGGCAATGTGGTAACACAGTGTCTCAAGCAATCAACCTTACTTTTGACACCATCGTCTTAGATGAGCTTCCTACAACATATCTTCACCACCACTGAGCACCTAATTCTATCTCTGCCCTTTCCTTAGCTTATGTGCTGCTGAAAACTGCACCCATGCTTTTGTTACCTCTGGACTTGATGATGTGAAGGCATTCCTGGACATCTTTACTGATTTTACACTTTCCAAACTTGAAGCCATTCAAAACTCTGGTGGTCATTGTCTTAAAATCCATCAAATTCTGCTTACCCATTTCCTGCCACGTGTGGCTTCAGCTGCCGTGGTCTTAAGGTCTACAATTTCCTCCTTAAATCTCTGCCTTTCCTCCTCCTCCTCTTCTTCTTAATATGCTGCCTAAACCAATCTTTTCTTAGCCATTTTCTCTAATCTCATCATGTGACTTAAAGTCATACAGTCATAGAGATATACAGCACAAAAACAGACCCTTCGGTCCAACTCGTCCATGCCGACTAGGTATCCTAATCCAATCTAATCCTATTTGCCGGCATTTGGCCCAAATTCCTCTAAACCCTTACTATTCACATACCCATCCAGATTCTTTTAAATGTTGTAATTATACCAGCCTACACCACTTCCTCTGGCAGCTCGTTCTGTGCACGTACCACCCTCTGCAAGAAAAAGTTTCCCCTTGGGTCCCTTTTAAATCTTTCCCTTCTCACTTTAAACCTATGCCCTCTAGTTTTGGACTCCCCCACCCCAAGGAAAAGACTTTCTTTTTACCCCTATCAGTGCTCCTCATGATTTTACAAGCCTCTATAAGGTCATCCCTCGGCCTCTGATGCTCCAGGGGAAATAGCCCCAGTCTGTTCAGCCTCCCTGTATAGCTCAAACCCTCTAATCTTGGCAACATCCTTGTAAATCTTTTCTGAACCCTTTCAAGTATCACACCATTCTTCCTATAGTAGGAAGACCAGGATTGCAGGCAGTATTCCAATAGTGGCCTAACCAAAGTCCTGTACAGCCACAACATGACATTCCAACTCCTATACTCAATGCATTGACCAAATAAGGGCAAGCATACAAATGCCTTGTATCAGATTTTTATTTGATCACAGTTGTAAAACAATTTGGGATGTTTATTTAATGTCACTGTATAAACACAAGATTTTGTATTTGATCCTTCTGCTTACATGCCTCAGTGTGTTAAATTGCACAAACCTGCAAATGCACTCTTTGTGTATCTTCCTGGGACCAAACCAGAAGAGAAGATTTTCTGCATTATAAGAAATATGGTATCTGACCTTGTGCCACCAGCATGTGTTATAGGTTTTCAATTCGTATGATTTTTAAAATGACTAATGTACAATCAATAGGGAGATAAAGCTGTACAGTGACAGGACAAAGTAGTGACATCTATAGCTTTTATAAAAATATTTATAACGTATGCATATATTTATCAATTTGTAATTTGCTTGCTTTATTTCTTTGGAAGCTAAGCGAAGCCAATCTATCAGCAACTGTGTCCATCTTTATGAGGCTTTGCCAAGCACTAAAAGTGTGCCTCTGCTGCTTCACACTGTGAGCTCTCTCTTACCTGGTATCACTCATGCCTCTTCTCAGAAACTGTCAGGTATTGTACTCAAAGCTGTATTTCTTCATACTATCTCTTAATCTCTCCACTCTATTCTTAGTTTCTTTCCACCTAGCATTTACGGTATTCTGTATTGATGAATTTGAACGGTCACTGAAATGTGTGTAATGTATTTTTGGTTAATACCCTATTTGTAATTTTTTAATCTCGTTTTACTGCTCTTGGGTCAACATTAATGACTAATATCTTTAGTGACATTTTGATGATCTTTATAATAAACTGTTGAAAGGATATTGGAATGCAAATACACAGGAAAAAAGTGCATTACCTCTATTTCCTGAGGGCAAAACAGTTTGTAATAAATCTGTAGATTTGTGTTGTCCATGCTAAAATTTGCTGTTCTGTTTTGAGCTATTTATTTTAGTTGTACACTTTTTCAGAGTCTTAAACTAACAGGAGCGATGAATTTAGCAGCAGCAATGAAATTGGTTCCTGTTTGATACTTAAAAGTCTACTGTACTAATTGAGACCCAAGCACCATCTACAGATTAGATGTTCAGTTTCAAGTTTTATTTTATTTTATTTTTTTTTTTTTTTTTTTTTTTTTTGTAAGAAAATCTTGCTTCTGGACAAATTGGCTTTCTTCTGTAGATAGTTATTGCATATCAGTAATTGCTACTGGCCCATTTGTTTTTGTCATAGTGATCGGAAATCCTTAGCTGTTAACTGATTTATGAGCTTTTCAATGTTAATTTGTATTAAGCTCAGTTATATTTCTGTAATGGGTTATTCAATCTTAGTAATATTCAATTTTTATTTTTAAAAGTTCTTCATTTTTTAATTTTTAGTCAGAGGTCCTGTTGTATTTGTCATTGCTTAAAGTCTAAACATAGCTAATCTTATTAGAAAACTGTTAATATAAATACCAGTGATTCAAAAATACTCAGTCTATATGTCTTGTTGGTATGTTTTTAATAACTTCTCTAGGGTAAATGTTTTGCACATAAAATGCACTTTTAAAATAAATGTAGTCCATACCTAAGGTATATGCAAAACTTTTACAAAAATAGTTCATTGTTTTGCGTTTAGTGGGCATTACCTTGGGAAATGGACTGAATCTTCAGGTGTGCATTATACAAAAATAAAAAGAAACCTTAAATAATTGTTCTCACATAATTACAGTGTGATGATATAGTTGTTTCTTTCATATAGTTACCCACTAATGCGAAGTTTATTTTAGACTGGTGTTTGGGATCGCATTTTTTTCTGAATTTGCTTAGTTTTATCTCATTAATCTGGTAAAAGAAAACTGCATTTTTTAAAAACCCAGTTCACCTGAAAGTGTTCCTGCTGTTTTTAAAAAGCATCATCATGTTGGTTGCATATTGTTGCAATGGGGTTAAAATTGTGCATGGGTGCTTATTTTTCAAAGCAAGGAAGTTTGGCTTGAAGTTTTGGTTTGGATTGAAAGCTGAAAGAAAATGGTATTCGGATTCACTTCCACTTCAGAGGATCTGCATTTGCATGATATAATCCAATTTTTATATTTCGTTGCATTGCATTACAAATTCCCTGTCATGCAAGGAATTGAGACACTATATTTGGTGCAATGATATGCGCTGATTGGCTTTTAACAAGGTTGGTCACTGAATTTGAGTAGACGTGGCCTCAAAAATGTCTAGAGTTTAAAAAGGAAATGAGAAATTATCTTGCTTTGTGGGTGCTAAGATTTTGTATCAAATCAAAATGTTTTTGTGAAGAGCATCTTTAAAAGATAAAAAGCTTCACTTTCGCTCACTTTATTTTATTATTTGCATATAGAAGATGAAGAGTTTCAACAACCTGAAACTACACCAGATTCAGAAGAATTGATGTGTAGTTCAACATTAGATCAAGAACAAAAGCTCACCCATAGCAGCAGTACTTCTGACATTGCTGAACGGCTCCATTCAGATCTGATTCAAGGTATTATGAAGAAATATTACAACATTTTAGCACCATCATTTAAGATTTTCTTTTGTGGGGGAAAGTAACTTTTCATTGTAGGATTTCTGAATGTCACTATAAATTAAAAGTGATGCTAAAAGTAAAAAGGATGTGATTGGATTAAGTGGTCACAGCCCTTGCGTGCGTTGGAAGAAAAACATTCCTAGCTCAAGACTGAAAAAACTACTCATCCTTAGATTGGATTTACCAAGGGGTGGGGTAATGTGCTGCACAAGGAAATTAAATTTGCATCAATTTCCTGGCAACGGGCTTTATGAACTTGGGTCATTTGTGGAAATGCAGGGAATCATCTGCCGTTTGCAAGGGATGGAAATATCGATCTCCAGTACGAAGTCATTTACCTCCTTGGCTTCATTTTCCTCAGAACCCATTTGGTGGAAAATCTAGAAAGGTGCTGCTTTCTTTTGAATGTACATTTTGGCCTATGTGCGCAGGATTTCAAACAATTGAAGATGGTTGAATAACATACAAGCTATTTCAAAAACAAATATAGCTTACTCCACTGTTTTCTCACCAACTTTCGAGAAATGTTTATATGTCAGAGCCTATTGTCTGAAAACCAAGAAATATGTTCAAGCCATGTGACTATTTCACTTGTGCGTTTTTTATATTTTAATGTTGCAAACTTTTGCATGTGAGATAATGGCATGCTGTCTAAGATTTTATTAAAAAGCTGGTATTGTATATTGAGCAGAAGTATTAAACCAGTAAACCTAAAGACCCCCTTTATCGATAAGGACAGAAACACATATCGTTCCATTTACCAGCATTTCAACCATATCCCTCTAAATCATTCCTATTCATATACCCATCCAGGTGCCTTTTAAATGTTATAATTGTACCTGCCTCCACCACTTCATGAAGGATGTTGTTAAACTTGAGAGGGTGCAGAAAAGATTTATAAGGATGTTGCCGGGTCTAGAGGGTTTGAGCTAAAGGGAAAAGCTGTATATGCTGGGGCTTTTTTCCCTGGAGTGTTGGAGGCTGAGGGGTGACCTTATAGACGTTTATAAAATCATGAGGGGCACAGATAGGATGAATAGCCAAGGTCTTTTTCGTAGGGTGGAGTGTCCAAAACTGGAGGGCATAGATTTAAGGTGAGAGGGGAAAGATTTTGAAAAGGACCTGAGGGGTAACTTATTCACACAGGGGGTTGCATGTGCATGAAGCACGCAGCAATTTGTCTAAGCATGAAATACATTGTATGTTTATTACAGGACAAAGGAGGGAACACTCAGCTAGCTTCAGTAATTCTGATCCAAAGAGTGCTACTGTTGAAAACAGAAAATGTGAAGGCAAAGAAACTGAGGCTCCAGTTGTAAGTCGACACACAAAAAAGTTAACTTCTGAAAAACTTGTCTCTTTGTTCATTATTTAAGATTGATCTTCCCTTAACTTTATTTTGGTGTGTTGGCAGAGCTTTTTGTTAAACTTGTCAGGACAAACGTTAGCCAAACTTGTAGTGATCACAACAATCGAAAAAATGATGTTTGGTTGGCACATGAATTCCCGTTGGCTAACCCATTGCCATGGAGAAAGTAAAGGGGAACTTGTACGCTTTGTCTATTGTGAACAGCTGAAGTATGCTGTTTGAAGTGATATAAATTTATATATCTGAGCCAATTCTCTGCAAACAAAGAAATGTGTTCAAGCCTTTTGTGAATCACCCAGGAGCCTGGGGGGGCCTCCGATTCCCTGTTGCTTTCTTCTCTATGGCAATATCTTAACCAATTAGAGTCGGTGATGATATTGGTAGGGTGAAATCAGAATGGCTGATCAACAAATCGCTCCCCGAGTCTGAAAACTGGTGTAGTGGGTGCCATGGAGGCATGACTTGAGGGTTGAGCACAGGATGCCCTGCTGCTGTGGAGGTGTCCTCATGGGAATGAGGATACAGGAAATGTACAGAATCAGAAAGATGACTGAGCTGCTGGGCTCCTCCAACTCCAGAAGCAGCAGAAGTTTGATTTTTGGCCCAGGCAAATAATTTTCTGGTAAGGAACAATCTTACACATCAGTATAACCATTGTCCAAACAGCAGGCTCAGCAAGAAATTGAAATCCTTCAGTCACAGCAATGAGAAGCAAAGAGCAGTAAACTGACCAGTTACATTAAATATTGGAAAAGAACAGCAGGCTAGAGACACAAAGTGGAACTTTACTGTACAGCCAAAGTAATCCAGAGGATGCATGTGATCTTGATGTTAATACAAGTTCAGAATTGGAAACCAAGCCTGGGTGAAGAACATTTTCTAGATATTTTCCAGAACTTGTCCACAGTTCCCAAAGCAATGAAGAGCAGCAAATTATTTCAGGAAGCAGAGTCCCTAAGAGCAGCATCTCCTCCATCTCTGAGGAAGGAGTCACAGAACCCTCAGAAGCAACCATCAGCTCAGACAATGACATCTGTATGTGTTTAAGTTAGATTAAAGTCGGCAGCCTATTCTAGTGAGTACATCACTTGACATATCTGCAGCTGTTTAAGGAATAAACTCTGATAACTGCCAGGGACCTGGCACCTGCTCAGCCCTAGGCAAGAAAAGACCCATGGACTTGACCATTAATAACAATGTGCAAACGGGCATAGAAACAGGCAGTTTTTTGGAGGCTTGGGGAAGCTGAATCAGTGGTTGGAAGAGTCCACTGATGCCATCTGTCCCATGATTTTGTGTGTGTCAGTGTCAGCCAGATCCAGTACACTAGATCTGCACTCCACTGCTTTAGCCATTGGTGCTCTGTACCAGTGGCAAGATGATGGAAATAAGGGATCTTGACTTCACTCCAAATGACTCCTTCACAAGGAGACAGGATGGTACCCAGTTGGAGAAGCAACCCATATAAATGCCCAGAATTCCCCTCAGGACACTCCAAAAGTGCCATCCTCCACTTCCACTCTGCCTGCAATTCTCAACCCTGTGGAAGTTGAGGCAGATAAGCTTTCATTTACCTAGAACACAGCTAGCTACCATGTCAGAACCCTCTATCCATTAATGGCCCTGAGCTTGTCTGCCTACATCTCCAAGGTTAGTAGCCTCACTACAGGGCAGGTATATAACGATTAATGCATTGATTAATATTTCACTGTTGTGGTAAGGCAAGACAATTTATATTTTCCTAAAGAATTTTATATAAAAGAATTGCAACCTTCTTAACAAACTATCATTAATAGCTTAAACTTTAATTTTTTGTGTTGATATTTAAACATCTATCTTTGTGCAGAAACTTAATTTTGTGAATTTTGTTCATCATAATTTGCTGTGCGCAAGAAGCAAAATTAGTTGGTGGAAATGCCTTACTCACAGTAATCTAGAACAACGTAAATATTTCGCTTGCATTTTTGTTGCAGATCTTGATACGTAGGAGCAGTAGCCCTGATGACCCAGAAAGTAAGGCAGAAACACTTCAGTCATCTCAAGTAAGAAGCAGATTGAGAAATAAAAGTGAGTGCTGAGCTCTCTGATACTTTAATTTAGAAGTATTTTGTTATGATTTGATTGAAGAAGATTTTCTCCATGTAGAGGAGAATAATTTCATTTAAACATGCTGCAACAGCTATTTATGTTTCCCACATTCAGACCTATCTAAGGACTTAAAATTACATCCTTTTGCTATATCTGGGATGAAGGTGTCTGTGGATTAACTGATCTTTGACTGAAGTTCAACTATTGAACTTTGAAGCAATTGCTTTTTTGCTATGTGGCTTTGTGTTTTAAATGAGGAATCCCTGCTCTGTCAACTTTTGAGAGAGTTTGTTTGACCAGCAGCTTTAAAACAAAATCTTGGATTGTTTGAGGAAAAGAAAAGCAGCATTTTTCTTAAGGTTTTATTTTGGAATAATGGCAAGATCTCAAACAAGTGGACCATAATACCAAGTTGTTTTGATGTGACTGTTTTGGCTTACTTAGGTAGTCTTGTAGCTGATTCATCTTCTGGACTTTCAGATCTGTGTCGTGTAAATATATGTGGGGCTTCAGTATGGCTTTTAATAATTATTGCGCTTAAGCTATTCACAATGCTGAATTATCTATGTCTCCCCTCGCAGCCAATTTCTATATTTATCATTTTTACTTGCTGCTTTTACGAGAATTATGGACCACTTTGGGATTTAGTGCACTCCTCCTATTTTTCCCTACAGTGCAAACTAAAAATCTATTCAACATGTAGGAGAATAGAGTTACTTTGTTATCTGGTAATATTGCCAAATACATTTGCTATAAAAACAAATAGATTCTGCAATAAAAATCTCTCAAATAGCTAGACACCTACAAAGGAGGAATTAGAAAAAGATCACACAAATACCCACATAAAATGGTCCCTAGCACCTAATTTATTACAGTTCAACAGTGGATGACAAATGCTAAGGTGTTGGGCATTAACGTAACCACTGGATGGCAAGGGATTTTTTTCAAATTCCTTTTTATTTGTTGCATTTCTAGGTGTATAGAATGATCTAGTTGTCTTGTGATTTTATTTTCTCTATTTTGTAATACTTAATATTTCACTAATGAAACAGTATGAACATTACCAAGATTAATTAAATTCTCGGAAATCCAATTGCAGGTTGAAGTGTTTTAATAAGAAAATAATCTTATAATGTGAAGCATTGAATGTATCCAAAATGATCTTGATTTTAAAAGGTTAATCAGATTTTGTCTGACGAGACAGAATATCGACGTTATTCATAGGTGAAACCTGTTCTTCTAACCATTAGGTGAGAGTATCAGCAGTGAAGTGTCCAATGATTTTAATGGTTTCAACGAAACAGAGTTATCATTAGCTCAGTGGAAAATATTTGACGAAGATTCAGAAGTTGGTGCAGTAACTACTGATGCTACTGATGCAAATACAGTATACACCTGGCATAGCTACTACAAAGCTACTACTCTTGCAGGTAAGGGATATAGTTATCCAGGAATAATGATTTAAGCTTCATTTGATTATATATTATTCAAGTACAGTTTTGTCAAGTATGCTTTTCCCTATTGTTGGTTCCCTGTCTACCTGCCACAGACCTAGTCTCACAGCTATACCCTTTAAGACCCAACCAGTTCGATTGGTAGTGTTTGCCAAGCCACCGCTGGTGGTGAACGTTGAAATCCCCCACCCAGAATACATTTTGTGCCATTGCCACCCTCAGTGCTTCCTCCAAGTGTTGTTCAACATGGAGGAGTACTGATTCATCAGCCAAGGGAGAATGGTTTGTGGTAATCAGCAGGAGGTTTCCTTGCCCGTGTTTAACCTGAAGCCGTGAGACTTCATGCTATCTGAGTCAATGTTGAGGACTCTGAGCGTAACTCCCTCCCGACTGTACACCACCACTGTGCCACCACCTCTGCTCAGTCTGACCTTCCTGTGGGACCGGCCAAATCCAGGGATGCTGATGGTGGTATCTGGAACATTGTCTGTAAGGTATGATTCCTTAAGAATGACTGACTATGTCAGCCTGTTGCTTAACTTGTCTGTAAGACAGCTCTCCCAATTTTGGTACTAGCCTCCAGATGTTGGTCAGAGATTTTTGCAGGGTTTTCCGTTGTCTATTCTGGTGTCTCGATTAATGCCAGGTGTTCCATTCGGTTTCTTTTCTTTCTCATAGCAATTGATACAACAGAGTGGCTTGCTAGGCCATTTCAGAGTGCAGTTAAGAGTCAACCACATTGTTATTGGTCTGGTGTCACATGTAGGCCAGACAAGGTGATGATGGCAAATTTCCTTCCCTGAAAAGCATTAATGAACCAGATGGGTTTTTCCAACAATCAACAATGGTCAGTAGATTCTTAATTCCAGATTTTTGTATTAATGAATTCAAGTTCGATGGGATTCAAACCCAGGTTCCCAGAATCTTAGTTGAGTTTTTGGATTAATAATCTAATGATAATACCATTAGACCAACGCTTTCCTTTAAGCTTCCCAGCAGCATGATTACCATATTCCTGTTCCCAAGTTTTCATGCACCAATATCAATGCAGCTGATGAAGTGTCCTGACCCGAAACATCAACTCCCCTGCTACTCTGATGTTGCCTGACCTCCTGCATTTGTCCAGCTCCATACCGTATTGACTCAGTGCACCTTCCAACTGCACAACTTGGGTGTACTATTTTCTGAGAGTTCTGTGTGAATTTATCCATCAGTTGAGGTGTAAGGGGATGATCTTAGATTTGGTTCCAGTTTCAGCTAAATTTGTTGATTTTCAATTGAAGCAGTGCGAAGTGTGACGCAGTTGGCTTCAGTGTTGCTTTAGTAAGCAGAATATTCAGTTCTTAGCACAGTTCAATATTTCAAGGCATACCTTTGTGCACATGTACATGCATGTTTATGTGGTTTTTACCATTTTCTTTTCTATCTTTGTTACAGAGAGCAGCATAAATTTGAGATCCAGTTCCTTCCAGCACTTTTATTTGAAATTTCTTTTCCCAGTTTAATTGTTTTATTCTGTTTGATGTTGATCTATTTATCACCTGTTTGAATCTTTCCCTTTCTAATCTGTCTCTGTTCCCCTTTACTTTCTGTTCTGATTTTTTTCTTTTTCTCTTCCTCCATTGCTCTTTGCTGTTTTGCTTATTTCACACTTTTCTGCTTCTGCACTAGCTAAATCATGATTTTTTTTGCCTGAGGCAGTTGCAGGGTGATATGCTAATAAGTTTTTTTTAAAAAAAAAACTCTGTATGATGAACATTTTTTTGGAAATTTGATCTTGTTAAAATGTTTGGATAGTTTTAGTTCATGGCCACATAAAATCAAATTACTTGTCAATTTTCTACGGTGGATAAAACAAATCATTAGGGAATCAGCTGTGTGAGCTTCAGGTTCGAAGTCCTCTGCTGATTCTAATTAAACTTTTAGATATCTTGAGCAAGTTTTCAAAATGTTCTGTTGTGTGTTTATGTAACCATACTGTCAGAGGAAATAGTTCAAAATAGTGTTACTGCTAAATACATTTTAACTTTTTCTGTGTGAAGTGAGCATTGATCTTTAAAGGCTTCCATGACATCATTTTCAAAAACCTGTGTGTAATTTAAGTTTTTAAAGGAAAAAACATTTGGAGCCTTTGCTAGTCCAGAGAACTGTTTACAATACTTGCTTTTTTAAAATAGAACAGTTGTAACTCATCTAACTGTTTCGATTATGGTGATTGTTGTGATCACTAGCCCATTCCCGTTCTTATTTTAGACCAGATGACATGGGATGCTTTGAAAGCATTGGATAGCATTAAGCAGTCCCGGACCACAGCGTGCAATGGAAAGCAAACTTTTTTTTAAAGCCTCCTTGTTTGCTTCATAATGTACAAGGTCCTACCAACAGCTTTCAGGCTCTTGTTGGAAATATGATTTCAGCTACCCTTCCATTAACCATAATTATATTCACATTTATTACAATTATAACTCATCCAATTTATTTTGATGTAGGTGTACCGAACACTGCCATTTTTCCCACACGTATTTGCTAGGAGCTTCCTCTTGCCAACACTGCATAAGATCAGAGTTGAAGTGAAGAAAAATATTTGTCAAGTGACATATAAATTGAACAGTGTAAAAATATTCCACGCTGTAATAATTTTGTATGATATTTCTATCCATAATAATGCCTGACGTAATAAGAACGGGCTTCTTGGAGCAGTATAACCGTCCCTGATGAAGGGTTCCGACCTGAAATGTCGACTTTATTGTTCCTCTGATGCTGCCTGACCTGCTGTGTTCCTCCAGCTCCACATTGTGTTGACTCTGACTTCAGCATCTGCAGTTCTTGCTATCTCCAAGTGCAGAATAAGTCTGGGGGGAAGAAGAAATTGATAATGAGAGCATGACGTCTGTTAACACAGCATGTATAGCTAAAAGGGAAGTCAGAGTAAAATAGTAAGTTTCATGCAAGTGGCAACATGCTGTAGCTAAAGGAGTTGAGTGGATTTGTTTTTGCCCCAGTTACTGTTACTACGACCAGGAGCCAACAGTAGGGGATGACTGTTGGCCTTGTTAAGTGAAGTTAAGGCCCAACTTCCTTAAGTGGAGAGAAGTGACCTGTATGGCACTCCTGTCAGCTCCAAAGATGTACCTGCTAAATTTCCAGCCATGGTTTTCATGTGTGTTGGAAACTTTAAAGGTGCTTGCCACTTCTTGTGCCATCTTCCCATTGTTTGGATTCTTCAACTTTTCATTGGCGCGTGCCCTCTTGTGGCCTCCTAGCAATTCAATAGAAATATTGGATCAAATGCGACCCTTGTCATGACTGATCTTGTTGCTATGAATTACAAATGTAATCAATGTGAAGTAAAGTATCAACAGTATGTCACATGGGGCCACAATTCATTTATAAGACTGGAATGGTGGAACTATTCTCCAATTCTTCAGCGCATACACAAATTAAATGGAAGCTTGAAATACAATTTTTAGATATTCTCCATCTTTCTGTATGTGCTGGAATATATTAACATTTAACATTGCCAAAAATGTATTGGAAAAAGTAATGGTGCTGAAAAATGTGAAATCCCCAAGATCCCAGAGTTTTCAATGAAATCAGTGAGCAAATTGCTTTAACCTTTCAAAGCACTTTATTCAGAACTTGTCATGTTAGATTGGAAGTTGCCCATATAACTCCACTGTTTCATAACATGACATCTATTGGGCGGAAAGCATACTGAACTATATGTAAATGTTAATCTTTATTCATAGAATCCATTAACACGGACTGCAAAATGCTGATTGCAATTAAATTTTAAATAGCCAACACCCTTATTTACACCATCCAATATTCTCTGTATGACCTTTTCCTGTTCACGACTTATACTTGGGTAGTTAAGTTCTGAATAAAAGCAGTGGAGCATGACAGCATTTGTTGGAAAAATGGAAAAATAGGTGTCAGAAGTTAGCAGCAGTGGTAGAGATTGGTGACTGAGATGTTAAAAACCTGTGTTTTAAAATTGGGCAATGACTGATTTTCTCGTACTAGTTCTTCTGTTTATTGTAATTGTCATACCCAATCTTTGTAATGTCACACAAAGCTGGAGAATGAAGGTGATTATCTCCTCATTGTTTTCTCAATGGTGTATTATTTATGATCCTTATCAAAATCCAGAGTTTTTAAGACGATAATAGATATAAAATCAAATGTTCTCTTTTGGGTCACTAAATAAACTAACATGGAGACAATTGAATTTTGAATGATACACTTATAATATTAAAGCTTATTAGATTTGTGAGATTGAGGGTTGATATATATATTACACTTGAGCTGGATTACCTCACTTCCGGTTTTCCTTCGCAATGGAGTGTATATGGGGTCATGTTCTACGTGTTTGTTGATGGCTTTCTTCGTGGAGTACCCATGGGATCACCTGTCTCCGGACTAATAGCCGAGGTGGTGATGCAAAGACAGGAAAGTACGGCCCTTCCGCTAATCCAACCAAAACTATGGATATGCTACATGGACGACACCTTTGTCATCATTAAATGGACCAAACTAGAGGAGACACACAAACTAAGAAACAACACCCTCACTGGAATCAAATTCACCAGAGAGGAGAAGAACAAACAGCTCCCATTCCTGGACGTCATGGTAGAGCGCAGGACAGATGGGGAATTCCAAATGAAAGTACACAGAAAAGCCACACACACTGACCAAGTACTGAACTTCAACAGTAACCATCCTAACACACACACATGAAGCTGCGTGCGAACATTATTTAAACGGGCAACAACACACTGCAGCAGCACAGAACTAGGCTGAGAAGAAGAATAATAACTTCCAGGTTTTCAAGGACAATGGATATCCAAAAAACTGGATCAGAAGATGCCTAATACACGTACAACACCAGAAAGATACTACACGCCCCGACACACTCATCACGCTACCTTACATCAGGAACACATCGGAACTAACCACAAGACTCCTACGACCACTGGGCATCAGCATAGCACACAAACCCACATCAACCTTACGACAACTGTTTACCCGAACCGAAGACCTACTACCCACTATGGACAGGACCAATGTCATATACAAGATTCCCTACAGAGACTGTGACAAACACTTCATCGGACAAACAGGAAGGAAATTAACAACAAGGGTACGTGAACGCCAATTGATTACAAAAAGACACGACCAATACTCACTCATCTCTATCCACATGGATAAGGAGAACCACCAATGCGACTGGGACAGCACCAAGATCCTGGGACAAGCAAAGCAAAGCAGAGACAGGCACGGGAGTTCCTAGAAGCCTGGTACTCCACGAAGAAAGCCATGAACAAACACACAGAACTCGACCCCGTATTCACTCCATTGCGAAGGAAAGCCAGAAGTGAGGTAATCCAGCTCAACGGACTCCAGAGTTTAAAAACCAGGTAGGAAGACACAGTGGCGTTTCATTGGAGGCTGCACTGATGATGTTACCCAGCAGGGTAATGAAACGTCTGCAGAACAACAACAAACCAGCTCGGCGAGGCAGCCAATCACAACGTCCACAACACGAGCTACAAATCTACTCCAAAACTTAGATCTTGGTGGGGTATTACATTTGACCAGAAGCTCATCTGAATGCACCATATAAATACAGTGCAGGGACCTGGCAGGATTTCGAAAGCCAGTGCCTTCCTGGAGGTTACTATTGACGAGAAACTCAACTGGACCTGCCACATAAACACAGTGGCTACAAGAGCAGGCCAGAGGCTAGGCATACTACGGTGAGTAACTCATCTGACTTCCCAAAGTCTGGCCACCATCTACAAGTCAGAAGTGTAATAAAATACTCCTCATTTGCCTGGATGAGTACAGCGCCATCAACACTTGAAGCTTGACAACATTCAGGAAAAAGCAGCCTGCTTGATTGGCACTATATCCATAAGCATCTACTCCTCCACCGCCGAATCTCAGTAGCAGCAGTGTGTACTGAGGTGCGTTGCAGAAATTCACTGGAAACAGCACTTTTCAAAAGCCACGACCACTTCCATCTAGAAGGACAAGAGAAGCAGATACATGGGAACATGACCATTTGCAAGTTCTCCTCCAAGCCACTCATCAACCTGACTTGGAAACATAACCCCCTTCCCTCACTGTCTCTGGGTCAAAACCCTGGAATTTCCTCCCAAAGTGTATGTGGGTCAACCTACAGCACATTGGACTGCAGCAGTTCAAGAAGGCAACTCACCACCACCTTCTGAAGTGCTGCTAGGACAAGGTAATAAATGCTGGCCAGCCAATGAAACCCACTTCTCCCCGGTGAATATAAAACAAAAATCTTGTATGTTTCATAATGTCACTCCACGTCCTTCTAAACACTATTGAATAAAGGCCTAACCTATTTAGCTGTTCCTATGTCAGTCCCTTCCTCCCAGGAATCTGCGTAGTGAATCTGTTTTGAACTGCTTCAACTGCCAGCATATCCTTAAGTGTTTTTGCCCACCCATTCAGTCTCTCTTTACGGCCTTGCAAATTCTTTCTGCCCTCATCACAACATACACTACCACTACTTTGTATTGGATAAGTTGCACATTGCTCCTCCTCCAAGTGAATATAGATAGTAAATAATTGAGGCCCGAGGACTGATCCATGTGACACTCCACTAGCTGCATCTTTCCAACTTGAAAAAGAACTATTAATCCCACTCTGTCTTCTGTGTGTTAACAAATCCTCAGTCCATGCTAATATGTTACTCGGAATACCATGAGCTCCTATCTTGTGCAATAATCTTTATTGAATGATGATTAGAAATCTAAATACACTAACCGTTCCTCTTTATCAAGTCTCCATGAAAGAACTCTGGCATACTTGTTTCTTCAATAATAATAGACTTGAGTATTTTGCCAGCAACAGATGTTAGATTGACTGGCCTATAGTTTCCTGTTTTTTTTTTTTGTCAGTCTCCTTTCTTAAAATGAGGCATCACATTAGTGACTTTGCTGGATCCAGAGAGTTCTGGAATGTTTCAAACAATTCTGCCACTATTCCTGCATCCACTTTCTTTAAAACCCTTGAATGCAGACAGTTGGGTTCTGAGGAAGGGTCACTGGAACCGAAAAGTTCACTCTGTTTTTTCCTTCACAGATGCTGCCAGACCTGCTGAGCTTTTCCAGCAATTTTGTTTTTGTTTCTGATTTACAGTATCCACAGTTCTTTCGGTTTTTAGTTGGGTTCTGGTGACATGTCTGCCTTTAATAATATTAGTTTGTCAAATATTTGTCCCTTGTGATAGTGACTGTCGTGAAACTCGTCCTCTCACTAATGTCTTGCTCATCTGTTACCTCTGGAATGTTTACAGTGCTCCACCATGAAGACTGATGCAAAATATTTGTTTAAATTTTCTGCCATTTCCCTGTTCCCTATTATCAATTTTCCAGTTACATCCTGCAAGGGTCCCACATGCAGTTTAGCTACTTCCTTCTTACAAGCTGGAAAGCTTCTTGCCAATTTACCTTCTTAATCAATTTTCTCTCTTTTTTTATTAACTTTTTAAGTCATCTGCTGGTTCCTAAAACAAAACTTAAATGTCCCAGTCTTCTGGTCTACTGCTAGTTTTTGTCACTTTGTACCCTTTTTTTTGAATACTCCTTGACCACCTTTGTTAACCAGAGGTTCATCCTTCTCATTGAGTCTTTCTTTTTGACTGGAATAGATTTTTACTGAGCGTTATGAAATAGTTGCTTAAACGTATGCCAGTGCACATTTACTGATCTGTGGTGACAATATCAAATCTTGTCTTTCTTGCACAATATCTGCGTTTTTTTGGGGAATTTTCCCGTGCTTTTGATTTATGATCCAGAATAACATCAAAATGTTTTATTATGTAGGTCTGAGATTTTCCAGAACTTTTAAATGTTTTGGGGATTGAATTCCAGAATTCCTTTCAGTTGTTTGAGGAAGTTGAAAGTATAATCTTGCTTCTAACTTGTTTGTCCAGATTTGGGAATCAGTCTCATTGTTGCTTCTGTTCCATCTGTGTGGGTTTGCTTTCATACCTCAGTAGCTAGAGTTGAGCTCAATGCTACACCTGTGACATGATCTGTAGTCACGGTTTTATATATAACTTCTCCTTTCGTTGTTCAGAATACATTTCAAAACTATCTGGATTGCCAAATTCATAAATTTATAATGCTTGTACGCTTCTACTTCTAAGAAATCAGCAATTATGAACATAATTTATTGTGAATTGTGAATTATTTCCTGCAAAGACAACTCGGTTGACTTTATGCTCTTCATATTACAAACAAATCTCAAGAGGAAACACTAGTGACTTGAAATCATGCCTCATTATACAGAATTGTTCAGTGTAGTATTGAGATCTGACCATTGAATTTTCTTCTGATTTAAAAATGTAGTTCATGTGTTATTTGAAATTTATGTGAATTGCAACTGATTTTTTTTTTTTTGGGATGATGTCAAAGAACTTCGAAAGTTTTTGTTGACCTGAAAGGGAAAGGAGTTCAGGCTTCATTCTGATTTTAGGCTGGTCACACAGAACATTGCAGGAACTTTCATCCACTGTAAAAGTACTATTTACTTGGACATGTGAAATATTCTGTCAACTTATCAACTTATTACAGTTATATAAATGAACACAAGATTCATATTTTGCCATTTCCTTGTAGGTTCTGATACTGCCTTTCCGACCCTCTCAACAGCCAGTGCACCTTCCCACCTCTCTACCCTTTCATCAACTTCCTCCATGCAACCTGAATCCAAGGACTCCACCCCGCTTCTGGATGAAAAATTACATCAGTCTGTCTTACAAATTCCTGAGGATTTGGGTACTACTTTGGTTTGATTTATAGGTTGTTATTATCTCTGTGGTGGGTAGTTTAGTTGGTGCCGTGAATTTTCTACTTTCTTGTGAAAGTAGGTGCAAGCATTTTGTGTGAAGTGTCTCGTTCTGTTTTTGCTCACTTTGTGCTTTACATTTAAAAATGTCAAATCAAATATGAATAACCTTTAACATTGCAATATGAACATCATTGTAAGCAAACAAAAAGACAGTTAGCCATTGAGATTATTTTTTCAATACTAATCCTTTGTTGGCCCCAGGAACATCTTTATCTATGTTTCAGTATGTCCCCAAGTTTATGAATCATGATATCAGCAAGATGTTTAGACTAGTCTTGGTATAGACATGCTAAAGTCATAGTAAACATGATTTGAAATTATTTGAAGTGGTGGCTAACCGCTCATCACTGAAAAGTTAAATTCACAACTGTACATTTTTTTTGTTAGCAAATGAGAATTAAATCTCCAAAAAACAATCTTGGTGATTAATGTGGCTTGCTGTTACATTAATGTTCCTTGTGGAAGAAATTAACTTTGACGGAGTAGAATAAGATACGTCACCAAATCCTTTGGCCATCGAAGTGAATGTAGATATTTCCAACCCACTATCTGCTTAAGTCTGGCAGCCTTCTTGGTAATTTGAATAAAATTTGCTGCATCAATGAGCAGACATTTCAGGTTGATGCAAATTGACTTCAAAGTTAATGCTTTTTGATTCTTCACAGATGCTACAAGACACGTTGAATATTTCTGTTGTTATCCGCATTTCTAGGATCCGCATATTTTACATTGATTTTTAAATGGGTAATTTCTTTGTCTTCATGCTTGAAAGCTCCCTGCTTTCCGCCCCCCCCGGCCATTGCAGTAGCTGGAGAGTCCAGAACAGTGAGATGGTAGGTGTGCTGTGTAGGAGCAGCTGGGGAGACCCATTTTGTTGATACTACCAGGGAGGAGTAGCTATGACTCATTAGCCTCAGCCTCCGCCTCCCCCTCGTACCCAATCTGGTGATTTTAAGCAGCACATGTGCATGCAGACACTTCCTGCAGCTTTCTGATGTCAGGGTCCACATCAGTGAGCATCATTTTAAGTGTTTTGGATAATCAGCCCAATTGGTGAAGTTGTCCAATAGTCTTAAGCAGGGCACATTTACTGATGGGAGTTGATGAGTAGATCTTCCTATATCCTTGCACCTGTACATGTGAGCATTCTGCAGAGTCAACTAGGTGGAAAAGATCACATGGCTCATGTTTCAATAATTAGCTGATGCCCAATTTTCTAACAGTTTTGAGGGTTTCCTTTTAGGCATGTAATCCTTCCTGTCTCAAGTAGAACAAAGGGAGTAGCGGTTTATGTAGCTTTGGAGTAGGGAGACGAGGGGAGCTGGTCATTCAGAGCAGTGGGGGCAGAGGAGACCAGTTGAATTGGGAGCAGTGGCCTAGTGGTATTATCGCTGGACTGTTAATCCAGAGACCCAGGTAATGTTGTGGGAACCTGAGTTCAAATCCTGCCATGGCAGCTAGTGGAATTTGAATATGATAAAAATTTGAAATTAAGAATCTAATGATGACAATGAATCCATTATTGATTGTTGGAAAAATCCATCTGGGTCACTAATGTCCTTTAGGGAACGAGACTGTCATCCTTACCAGATCTGGCCTATAAATGATTCCAGACCAACAGCAATGTTGACCTTTCTCTGCCCTCTGGGCAATATGGAATGGACAGTAAATGCTGGCCCAGCCAGTGATGCTCTCATCCTGTGAATGAATATTACTAAAAATGAGGGGAAAGTTAGATCTGGCCAATCAGAGGGCTTTTCTTTTTGAACTGGAGCAATGAATGCACAGGTCATTAGGTATTCCACTTACAGATTTTTAAAAGAACAATTTATGGTATGTGGTCCTTGTTGGCGAGGCCGGCATTTATTGCCCTTCCCTAATCCTCCTGAAGGATGTGGTGCTGAGTTATGAGAGTTGGACCAAATTGTGTAATGTCAAAGGTTTCCTATTTTTCCCTTCAAGGACTGGGGAGCTGAAAGCAGTGACAGAGTTTGGAGCTGTGAGGGCAAAATGGAGCTGGCTAGTTTGAGCAGGAGAGAGGACACCCGGAATTTAACATCAGGAACTAAAAATGATATCAGCACGGGGGAGGATCTGGTTAACATTATGTGAAGGATGCAATTTGCTGCTGTGACAGAAATGAGTCTTTATTAATTTTACATGTGCTAATTGATATAGAGCACCCTCTTCGCTGCAATGTCGACCCACAAGCAAGCATATCTCTAGGACAGGGAAAGCCGGGTGGGGCAGCAACACGTGTGAGAGAGAGAGTCCCTGTCCTGTGCAGTGAAGTTCGGTTTCTAATCGTTTCTGCTATCTGCTGCCATTGAGCAAAGGCCTTGCTTTGTTAGGACTATGTTGTCATCAGTAGACAATAGCCACCTGGGACATCAGAACCTTCATGGACAACCCCAGTAGCGACAGATTTGAGCATTACACTACTCACATAGCCTGTGAACACACTATGGCATTGTCATCGCTGCTCTGATTGGGATGCATTAAGCTTGACCAGTGCAATGAAAAAGATGGCAGTTACACCTTTAGGAAGAGGAAACCTGAGGAAGAAAGCAACTCTGGGGTTGGAGTTGACATATAAATAAACAAATTTGTTGACCATCTTATCGTGCACTCTTGCAGGATAATCAAACATCTCATGACCCTTTGGCTCACCAGAAACAGTGCACTGTCATCCAAGTATATGCCACATCCTTGAAGCAACAAGGAGGCCAAAGAGAAGTTTTACTCCAGTTTTGATCAGTCATTGTGTGTTGTCCCATTTCCTAAAGGCAGACAAACCGATCCACCTTGAATATCGCAGTGCCAAAGTTGGGAAGTGCACGAATCTCTGCAAAGGCTTTGTTGCAAAGAAGGTATTGGGAAGGCAAAAACCAATGGGTCCTCTTCCAAAATAATGCCTAGAGCCTGGTCTGATTGTAAGGAACAGCCGTTGACCATCCCTGATGTCAACAGTGGAGGTTCTTTATGGTTCCAGCAAGGAATGATCTCTCCTTGCTTCAAAGTGGTCACATTTACTGCACTTCAGGGATCCATTAAAAGGAGGAAAGCTGGTTATTATATTCATATCGAGACCTCATGGCAACACCCTCACTGTAGACATTTACACCTGTTTGACTACGTCATTATTTGAATGACAGAACATGTGCAGTGACAAAAACTATTGATTACTGAATATGTCATTGCCTCATCCAAAAACAGTGGCAGCAAAAAGCACTGCAGCAGGAAAGTCCATGTTGATGGACTCGCAATCTGTTCTGAATTTTCTCCTCAAAGTTGGCTGCCCACTGAAGTTTGTCACCATTCTCTGCCCTTGAAAGACCATATGCAAGCCATAACTCTCATGAGCACATCCACCGTAGATCCGGTATATGAGCAAACTGCGTTTAGCGAAGCTGTGTAATTACACCAACACATTACTCCATCTTCCTTGCTGAACTGCTCCAGCTGATATCTGTGAAGCGTGTCCCTGGAGCAGAGCTTCGGTACAAGATGAGCGAGAACCTGTTCAGCCTGCGTCGTCTCCTGTCCCCAGTCAAGACTGTACAAACCTCTGTCATTGATTTTTCAGGACAAAGATGACACTTGTATGTGCACACATCTCTGATGCTATGCTTCTATATTATCTTCAACACCGTCATGGCGAGAATGGGCCTTAAGCTAAACAAAGGCTTTGTACCATTTTGATCCTGCTGCATAACGTTGTCCTTTATCGATCAACTAAGATCCACAGTAAGCAACTGGATGAAACAGCTCTTTTCTCATGCCTTGGGACACTTCTTTCAGTGACGGCAGACATCAATGATGAAATTGAACAAAATCTCTTGTGTACCAAGACGTCTTTTCGCTGTCTGAGGAACGGTGTGTTTGATGACTCAAGGTGTAAAGAGCAGTAGTGCTGCCTATCTTTCTTTACGTGTCTAAGGAATGGACAATATATAGCAAATAACTCAAGTCATTTACATAAGTATCACCAGCAATGCCTTCACAAAATCCTCCAGATCCAGTGACAGGCAGACTCTTCAATATCTGTGTAAAAACTGAAAGAACTGTGGATGGTGTAAATCAGAACTGGGGAAGGGTCACCTGACCCAAAACGTTAATTCTGATTTCTCTTCACAGATGCTGCCATACTTGCTGAAGTTTTCTAGCAACTTCTGTTTTTGTTTATGTCTTCAATATCTCTTGTCCTCTCCCAGGCTGGTATCCTAGCATCAAGGGGCTAGTTACTGTATATTACAACCAGTTCAAAGAGGACAGTAGCTAAGATGGAATTAGAAGTTGAAATGCAAGAGAGAGAGCCTGGAAAGCAAAGGAGACATAAACTGGATAAAGAAGAAGTAAGTTTAGTAAGGTTAAATAGAATATATTTTAATGCAAGGAGTATGCTCTCCTAGCTATGACAGGGACTTGAGTGAAAGACAAACAGGGTTGGCAGCTCAACATTCCTGGTTAAAAGGTATTAATGAGTTAGGTGGGCAGAAGAAAAAGGGAATTGCAATATTGATATAATTGAATCAATTGCAGAAGTGAGTGGGGCTAATGTCTTGGACAGATAATCAAATGAGGCTATATGGGGAGACATAGAAAGCAAAAGTGGCAAGCATGCTGATGGGTGTGTACGAGAGGTCCCCAAACAATCAGGAAGAGAGAGAGGATAAAATATGTAGTCACATTTCAAAGAAATAAAAGAATAATAAAGCAGTAAAGTAGGGGATTTTAACTACCCATATATTGATAGATAGAGTTTCAAGGTAGGGAGGAAACAAAATTCTTAAGTTTTAAAAAGCATCCAGGAGAGTTTCAGTACAACAAAGGAGGGTCAGTTCTGAACCTAATACTTGGAAATGAGCTCAGGCATGTGGAAGGCATATAAGTGGGGGAGCATTTTGGTGATGTGACCATAAACTCA